CACACACCCACACCCACACCCACCCACACACCCACACCCACACCCACCCACACCCACTCCCACAGCCACACCCACAGCCACACCCACATCCACATCCACATCCACAGCCACACCCACACTCACACCCACCCACACCCACACCCTAATTTCTATACAAGTACAATCTTTCACGCAATTTTTCACACAAAAAATTTTCCTCAAATTGGAAAAATTTTCACCGACGCATCTAGGTGCCCATGGATTATTTCTGCACCTCTAAAATCGATTATACTATTATGCTATACCAATATAATGAAATATCCAGTCAATCACGCTACAGGTACTAATTGTTTATGTATTGTATAAGTAATTACAGACCAAAAATCATTGTATAAGTTATTCGAAGCAGCTCTTTAGCAGGGTTGAGATCAGTCGTGATAACTGTGCTATTCCGATAGTTTTGATTATACGAATAAAGTACAATCACTGATACGTCATCAAGCACTGTGTTTTTTATTCTAATGTTTACCAACTAGAAGCCCTGAGTCTTCCGAAGACTTTTAGATCATTTTTGTTAACATCAACATTTTACTTATGACGAATTTATTTGTAACAGAAAATTCTGTATTATATTTCTATTCGTTTAAGATAGGAAGGACTATTGAAAACTATTCAAATCAAAAGGTTAACCTTTGCTTATCAAAATGAAATGCTGAAGGCTCACTTGTCGATGAAGTTTCAACGACCATAAATAATTCCGATAAAAACAAAAATACTCTCGAGGCCTGTTTTTGTTCTTGCTTATAGACGCATTGTATGGAAGAACTAAAACAGAAGCTTACCGTTTATAAAAGTCGATATTTTAGCAATACGATGATATTCAAATCAACATGATGCAAAACCTATTACAAATCGTAGAAATAATGTGAGTATTTTTCTCGTATTAAACTACTAATAACATTATTTGCGTTGATAGATATATGATCTGTATCATCTCAGGTAAGCGAAACAATTTTCTTTTTGATTATGTATCAAGCAAAGACCGTTCTTTACTTCGATTATATGGTGCCCTAATAGAAATTTGACGACTTATAGTGTAATATAGAAACTTATCTGTAAATCAAACAAAGCAGTGCTGCACAGGTGCATAATCTCATCGTGTGCGCCTAGATGTGTAGGCAGAAAATTTTGCAAAACTATTGACTGCAGAAAAATTTTTATTTGAAAAATTACCTGCAACATTTTGCGTGTGTAGAAATTAGCACGTGATCTTAATGGGCAGATTTTGTAATTTATTTTTTAATAGAGGATAGTGTCGTTGATTTTTTTTATTCCTTTTATTTTTAATACGTTCCTTAGTCAATATGTATATTAACTATATGGAGTTTTGTTTTATTTTCTTGTTTTGCGCCGCTAATAAAGTTAATCTTTGTCTTCTTTTTAGAACGCGGAAGAAAAAGAATTATAGGAAGATATACGAAAGGCAAAATATGATCTGATATGACTAAAATACTGTCAATTTTGTAGTTTCTATGAACGCAAGTTTGCTTTTATTCAGTGACAGTAAACACGGAAGTTAGAAGCATAAGAAAGAAAGAGAACCAGAGAATAAGATACGGACGTATTTATCCAGAATGAAAGCGGTAAGGAAATAAGTGACGTATATGACAGGCAAATGGGATACTCCAAGGATTCACTGTTTCTTCTTGAAGAAATGATTGAATCCTGAAAAAATCGCCTAGCCACAAAATGTCAAGGATCTTTACAGAACATCCTCAAGATCTTATGCCTCTACATTAATGTTTCTAATATTCTGATGAAGACTTTCTTTTGAAGGCCAAAATACGGAATATTCTTCACTCGCAAGTTGCGGTTGTTGTCCATCACCAGGATGTTCCACTAAAACTATGCCTTGCTCATCGAATGGTGACTGTGAATGTCTTCTAATGGCAATGACCGGTGGTGGAATGTGTGCTGATACAATTATATCCTGTTCAAACTTAACGCGTTGTCAAAGTGATAATGTAACGTGTTTGGCACCAAATACAGTTTGTGTTAATAATACTCGTTGCAATGTACCAGTGTGCTATCCAATTGAACGTGCTTCTGTCTCTGTATGTCCATCACTAAATTCAAGATATTCGTCTACTACTCCTTTCAGTAAGATATTTTCTCGTTTGCAGTATGTATGACTTTTATAATATCAACAGATAGCATCTCATCGACTGGTGCAATAAGCAGTGGCATACCAACTTCAATTAGGAGCACCACATTGAGTAGCATCATGAGCAGCGGCATATCAACTTCAACAAGTCGCATTTCATCGACTAGTAGTACGCCAAGGACTACAGCAAGTGCAAATAGATCGGGTAATAGTTTGCTCCTTATGAAAAGACACTCTTTAATTGTCTATAATACACAGATGAAAATGAAACACTGACAAGTTTCGAAAGGACAACTATAAAAAAAAGAAACAAAAGAAGTACCACTTCATTTACATTCACTTCAGGTTCCTCGTGAGTAAAAGCATAGTATAAACCGATATGCTTTTTTATGTGATAGATAAAGGAATGTTCAGGGCGAAGACGTGAACGAAGCAAAATTTCAGAGTAAATTCTTTTGGATTATGATCTACTTCAGATTATAATGAAAATGTGTTTCATATTAATTATAGTATTGTTGTTAAACTCTGGATACTTTCAATTAATCACAAAGAATTAACCTCAATTTTCCGTTAATCTTTGTATCTTGAAACATGAACATAAACTTTAAATAGAAGGTCGCTTCCATACAAATACTATTCGTGCGCATGTATCTTAAAATCTTCAGCAGATATCCAAATAGTATTTTTATAGTTTATCGTAGAATATCATTTTTCGCTTGCTTATTGGAGTGATGGATCGTGCGGTTTAATCTGAATTTCCCATATAAAAAGTTTAGCAAATAATATACATCAGCCAACGCAAGGCTTTTTTCTACCATATTTTGATTCAAACGGGTTTATTTTCTGCTTTCTTCTCACAACAAGTCGGAAATCAAGTTGGATCGAATCGTAATTGGTCTTTTTTATTAACATTTATCAAACTCTATTTGTTGTGTAAAAATGAACAAAACACCTAGAATTTTGACACTGTTTATTTGGTAGCAGGATGTTTTTGCGCGTAGTGTGAATGTACATCTAGACCCAACTGGGATTGCCATCATGAAAAGAGTTTTAGGATTTGTTTCTATCTAATAACGTATTTGTACTCAATTTTCAATCGTGACTTTGAGAAAAATAGTCGTAGAAACTGAACAAAAGGAAACCTTTCATAGAAATTGCAAATGATGGTATCTCTGCAAAATATAATAGTCGCTCAGTGAATTTTTGCTATCTGACAAAGCTGTTCAAAAAAATGTAAAAGAATCAATTTTTTTCTTGATCAGCATCGTGAGTTCCATCGAACCATGTGTGTTAAAATGGAAAAGGAAATACTTTACTTCAGTTTTCCGTTACACATATCTTACTGATGAATGACGAAAAATTATAAAGTGTTTCTTAGTATTACCTATGATTATTTTTTATTTGCTATCGTGTGCAAAACAGATGATTTTATTTGTATAATTTATAGTTTGTTCCAATAGCAGTACACTTATAACATTTGATGATCTGACATCAGGAACACCGTTACCTGAACATTATTATTCTATCAATTGGACGAATGCAAATAGTTACATCGAAGCATCAAATGTCAGTGGATATTACACAGTTGGTGAAAATAGAAGTACTGTAGTATACAATGCTTATGGAAATCCTATGATTATGAGCAGTCTTAATAATAAAAGTTTAACATTGTATTCTGCTGTTATGGCAGCAGCATGGCGTGATAATTTACAGTTGGAAGTAATTGGATATAAGTCCAATGTATTAATAGCAACCAATAATTTTATTCTGCAAGTATTCACTGTGTCCTATTTAACATTCAATGGACTCTCAGGTCTAGACAAGATTATATTTTCGACATCAAATGGGACGAGTAACATAGCTGTAACTGGAGTCGGAACACAATTTGGCATGGATAATCTTTGTTTGAGTCTTACATGAATTTGAAGAAAACTTCTTAACTACTAGCATATCTTTTCTTTTGCGAATGTAAGACCAATATCCAAGAGCTGTTTAACTCAATTTTAACGATTTCTTTGAATTTAAATTATTTAAATAAAATAAAATATTTCACACTTTGAGATTTTTGGTTTTATATAAATTGTTAAATATATATTTGTATCAATTTTAAGAAACCTTATAACATTCAATGTTATTTTTGATTAATTGCAGTGCATAGAGTTCACTAGATAACATTTTTACTATAGGGTGTGGGTGTGGGTGGGTGTGGGTGTGGGTGTGGGTGCACTCTAAAAAAAAAAGTATTTTACCGAACCTTAAAAGCTTCGCATTTCTGTACCGAACGATTTTAAGTTCGGTGGAGCGGAAATCGTTTCGTGCTTTTCTTTCAGAACCTTTTTAAGTTCAGCAGATTTCACAAGGTTTCGAAGTTTTGCGACGGAACTCCTTTTAAGTTCCGCAAAGTGCTTTATGGTTTCGTACATCGTGTATCAATCCTCTGATAGTTTCGCAATATGTCGACGGAACCAGTGTTGGTTTTGTTATCTAAAAGAAGGTTTCGAATATTTTTTACAAAACGGTTGATGGTTTCGTTGACCATGCGAAGGTTTTGTATTCTTTCTGCAGAACCTTTCTACACTTTCTGGTCGACTTTAAGGTTTTATATGCTTTATGCAAAACCTCTGATGGTTTCGTAAACTGTAGAAAGGTTTGGTATCTCTTATGAAAAACCACTGATGGTTTCGTAAACTGTCGAAAGGTTTGGTATCTCTTATACGAAACCCTTGATAGTTTCGTTAACGATCGGAAGGTTTTGTATTCTTTGTGCGAAACCTTTCTACACTTTCTGGTCGATTGATGGTTTCGTTGACCATCCGAAGGTTTTGTATTTTTTGTGCGGAATCTTTCGACACTTTCTTGTCAACTTTAAGGTTTGGTATAGCTTATGCAAAACCTCCGATGGTTTCATAAACTGTCGAAAGATTTGGTATTCCTTTTACGAAGCCCTTGATGGTTCCGTTAACGATCGGAAGGTTTTGTGAGTGTGGGTGTGGGTGTGTGGGTGTGGGTGTGTGGGTGTGGGTGTGTGGGTGTGGGTGTGTGGGTG